CAATGACTTTTTTGCGTTTATGAATGGTTATTCTCTGCTGTGACCATAGTCACGTGACCTTCACGCATGCGCGTTGCATACTTTTTGTGACGTCACAACCAACAACCAAGATTTAAGGAATAGTAGCGCATGCGTGGTGCGTGCGGGGCGCATTCATTGCTTTACAAAGGCGTGCGGTCCGTGTATAGTATATGTGAATGTATATTTATGTTAGCCGTTTTTTTACAAACTTTTATTTTATTATTGAATCTTAATAAACGCGTTTGTACATTTTATGTCAAGCAAAGCCTTTTTGCCTATATGGACTGCACGCCACTGGTATTTAGTCAGTTGACAATCCTACTGAGTCCAGGTCGAGGCAGTAGTAGGAACGGGGTGATTTTTGGTCAGTAAGAGTCTGACACTCCTTCTCACCTCACCCAGGCGGGAGGAGACAGTGGTTTAAAAATATAATAATTTCAAATTGACTATTATTTTATTCTCACCGGACTAAAGCGAGGTTGCATGTTCCCACATCCATTGGCTGAGAGCAGCGAGCATCTGTAACAAAAACAAATGCTAGCTCAAAATTAATTCTTTATGTTTAATTTAGAGATAGAAGTTAAATTATGAAAACAAGTCTAAAACAAGACTAGTCTTACAAAATAAAAATAGTTATAATGGAATCCACAGCGGTGTTCACAGTTTTACGACATTAGGCTTTCCAAGTGTATGGTGAATAGAAACGAGCGTGCTCCCCGGCAATGCATTTTTCGTTCCTCCGCTGTTGCAGGAGGCCATGGACGGCGCCGATTGCTTACCATAACACAAAATTTCTTACATTCACATTTCTTTTCTTTACTATTATTTCGATGGGTCTCAGTTATCTGAATAAATAAACTTTGTTATTATAATATGGACTAGTGGCTCTCAAAGTTGTCCAGATTACGGCCTATCGTAAAGTTCCCAAACTAGAACCCACATTTAGGAACTAAAACGATTACCAATACGAAAATTAAAGTACAAAACGGCTGGTTAGTAAGTCTTTCTAGAGACAAGACCCACTAAAAATTCGCTTAAGACCCACCAATAAGTCACGACCCACTTTTTTTTTTTAATATTTGTTGGTTCGATATTTAATCACTATCTCGCCTGGTGGTAAGTACCTAGTAATGTGGTTTACGATGGAGCACGTCGTCCCATAAGCAACCTATTCACTCGGGCCTTGACAACACCAAGGTTATACCCTTCAGGAAACATACACTCTGGCAAAGAATTTCACTTCTTAGCTGTACGCACAAGGAAGCTTAATGCGATGCGCTTCGTGCGTGTGGTTCTACCCAGGTTTTTTTAAAGGGGGGAAAATCATCGAATGCCTTCTTCCACCTGGGTGAGGCAGGAGGGAGTGTCACACTCTTACTGACTAAAAACCACTCCGTTCCTACTCCTGCACTTCGAGCCGGAGACCCGGTAACCCGTAAGTTGTCTGCGGTGAAGAGATTTACAAAAAATACTTATGTCTTTGTTTTCTAATATTAATAAAACTATATTACCTTGTGTGGAACTGGCGACAATTTTCAATGCTAAAATAGTCAACAAAAGAAATACTTTCATTTTTATAAAATAAATTGAATTAAATTTACTTATCTTCAAAGTACCTATGTTACGTTACTCGTGTTGTTTTAGTTTAAAAATTAAACAATAGTGGCTTTACAACTGCATTCTAGTGGGTAGTTATATAATTATGTATGTATCTATTCGACTTTTATCAAAACGTTTTTATTGTTTTTATTTTGCATTTTTTTTTGTTATTGTTGCAGGACTGTATTCGAGTGTTCATTATTTTATAGATAGAACTTCACTTATCTGTCATGGGTGGTAAGTGGTTTTTTTAAGGGAGGAAAATCATCGAATGACTTCTCCCGCCTGGGTGAGGCGGGAGGGAGTGTCAGACTCTTACTGACTAAAAATCACCCCGTTTCTTCTCATTCACGTTGAGCCGGAGCCCCGGGCGGCAACCCGTTACGTCCTCCGCAGCTCCGCACCAGCATCAGTCCATCAGTGATAGGTGGTAGGCAAAGACTATGGAACGGCAATTGCTACGATTCTTAGATACCTTTTTCGCTTCGTCAGTCATCAGTCTTTTCATGCATGTTCATCGGTTACAGATACTTTTAATTTGGCCCTTCTTTCTAATGTGGTAAATAAGCAAATAGATTACTTGATGGTAAGCAATCTGCGCCGCCCATGGACACTAGGGTTGTCTGTCAAAGTACGCGCTGATCTATGAGTGCTGACGGTAAGCGTAGTACTAAAATTATCCTGAAGGAGTCACAAAGTGTACCTATGTACTTCCACTTTATTTATATATGGATTCTCCTGTGTACTGTGTATGTGTTGTGCATAAATAAATAAATTTATACATAAAGTGCCATGCCGAGACATTTTACGAAAGAGTTTGCTCTTTTCTTGAAGGTTTGAAGGTAGTATCTGTTCATAAATATTGCCCCGACGATGTGTTTTCTATGTTGTCTCATATACCGGCAGATAAGAGGTTAAAGCAGGGGATACCAACCTTTTCCTCGCCAAGGACCACATTTATCATTCTAGATAGGTTAGGGACCATTATTACTAGATGTTAATTATCTTCATGTGGTATTATTACACTAAGATTTTTTTCATTCACTTTAAAAATTGTGCCTGTTGAATTACCGAAATAAGTTGCTCTCGATTATCAGTTGTCTTTTTGATACAGTACAGTTTAATTTGAGGTTTAACCGGTTGCCAAAAAGGAAAAAGTAATCCGTGTCATATATTGGATAGAATAGTTTTTTGTACGTTTCCCGGCTCATATTTTGTCTTCTGCGGACCATTAGTGGTCCACGGACCACTGGTTGCGAACCACTGGTGTAAATTAATGTTCAAGTTTAAGGAACAGAGAGTAAAGTTCCCCGAGATCAGGGCCGGGCAAGGTGTTCAAGCATGGTGGGCTGTCTAGAAACAGTTGTCTGTTAGGATTTTCTATTCATGTTAATTCCCATGTAAAATAAGTGTCTGATGTTTTTAAAATAAATACTATACGAACATTAGAATAAAAATTAGTTATCCAACTTATTCTAAAAGATTTATCTCTTACTTAACCATTTGTTTCTACACCACAATTCTTTTTTAAATAAATCATGTACTGTCTCGTCTGTGCCACCCAAATGGAGGTGGCCTTTGGCTAGATTTGACTGTACAATCCGATGTATCAGGTTAAAACTGCATACTTAAACCATTTTTTTTAAGGGCGGAAAAATCATCGAATGACTTCTTCCGCCTAGGTGAGGTGGGAGAGAGTGTCAGACTCTTACTGACTAAAACCATCCCGTTCCTACTCCTGCACTTTGAGTCGGAACCCCGGTAACTCGCTAGGTTCTTCGCGGCTCCAAATCGGCATAAGTCCTATTGGGCCCCATCCGTGGTGGTTTGATGGCTCTTTGAAACGCGTGCGGAACGCGACGCGCCATATTCTCGGGTCTGGTTCTGGTCAGGCGGCGAGCCACGGTATACTCGCCGTCCGCAGGCCCGCGTTTACGATTATTAATGGAATAGTTAAGCTTTCTTGTGCGAACCGCTAAGGATTGATATTCCTTCCCGGAATCTGTGTTTTCTGACAAATACACCTTTGGTGTCTTAAAATCCCGAGTGAACAGATTGCTAATAGATAGGTGTGCTCCATCGTCGGCCACATCATTGCTTACCACCAGGCGAGATGGTGGCCAAACTTCGACCTATCAAGGCAAAGAAACAACGCATTGCATTATACTTTTCCCCCATATGTGATAGGAAAATTTCAAACAAGCGCCATCTATGTATATTCTAAAGAATTACTTGCAGTGTGTCTCCTACTACCACGTTTTCGTAGCTATTAGTAGTTCGACAGTAGCTCAATAGATGTCACTATTAATATTATATTGTTTTTAATATCTATCATAGCTGTGTATGTGTACATATATTATAATAATTGTTATTTGTTAAGCCCCCCCCCACACAGATTAGTATCGTAAGAGTCAACTAAAGGACTACTTAGTTACTATCTTTAATCCCCCTGCCAAGAGTGGAGATTATGGTTAACTAAAAATCGCGGGTTACTCACATAAACATACTGAAAAAAGCTCTACTAGTTTCGCACCACAGAGGGGTTCTTTCCCATGAGCAGCGTGCGCGGTCGCGGCGATGTCGCGCAGCCTCTTAGTATATTTAAGTCCGTAATCCGCGATTTTTAGGTAGTTTAGTATGCCTCACAATAAAAATTATAAAAATGAGATTTTAATTATTTGTTTATTTGAACTTGTAAAGTACACAAAATAGAATATAATCCTATTATTATTCTATATGAGAAAGATGTGTTTGTGTGTATCTATGTTAGTCAATTACGACGAAAAATCTGAAGTGAACAAGGTTAGATTATGGCCTCAAAAACATACAAGCTTTTTTTATGATTTTTCCCCTTTAAAAAAATAATAAAAAAAAAACATACAGGCTACTATTTATCCCACAGGAGCGAGAGCGAGTCTGCGGGCAGGAGCTTAGAGGATTGAGGCAGGCTGAATTGCAAATGGCATTCTCTATCAGCCAAGAGGAAATCAGCGAAAACATACCTGTTTGTAACTGAGTGAGGTAACTGTAGGCCCAATTACCCCCCACCTCAGTCCCCGAATCCTCCACAATCCTCAAATTCCCAATTCCCAAAATACCGATAAAGCACTTGTAACGCCTTGGTGTTCTAGGTATCCATGGGCGACGGCGATTGCTCACCATCGGGTGATCCGTCAGCTTGATTACTGGCTTATGCTATAAAAAAATCACCTAATTTTATTAAAAGAACATTGATATGTGCTAAAGACAAAAAAAAAACTGAAAAATTCGGTTCAAAAATTGCCTTTAATACACACTGAACATTTCATTTTAGATAGGTAAAAGAATTTAAAACATTTTTTTGTAAGACATACACAATAATATAAATAAAAAGGGACAACTGTTGTCTAAGCCAAATGACATAGACATTTTTGCCAAATCAAGTGAACAGAGATATATGTAGGGGATGTCATATTGAACAAACCATATCGAGGTCTCAAGTCACTCCGAAAACTAGCAATTGTAGCCAAATGCCATTTAGCGCTTGTCTACATGTAGAATAGAAAAGCAAATTATATGGAATTGACGTAAATTTTGACTTGATAGTGTCATCCCCATACATTTTGATTTCTACTCTCTCTGTAGACAAGCCCTAAAGTGGCGTTTGGCTAAAGGCTCAGGATCTTTAGTAGATACAACCATAGGACCCACTTAGTTTTTCGTCAATTTTTCTAATTTCCGTGGTGCTTGGCGACTGGGCTTCTTCTAGTAGTGCAGTCTTTTTTCATGCCTTTAGGCTTCATTCATTCTGTGTCCTGCAGTAATTCACCGAGGGAAGTGGAAACTACCCTTTCATATATTCAGATTTCAGTATTCCGGTGATGCTGTGGTTGTATCTACTTCAGATCCTGGCTTACAGGAGTTGCAGCAGTTTTGGGAGGTTGTGGCGGGCTTGTCCCAACAAGAAACACATCCATGAAAACTCCAAAATTATGAAGTCCGACGCTTCCCTGATACACGAACAACTCTCTTGGATCCCAAAGCGAAGATATCAAAAGCTTAATGTCAAGTAACCTTGAGTCCAGGTCACTTTTGGGCTCTAGCTCAAAACAGAAGCAGGAACAGGGTGGTTATTAGTTAATAAGAGTCTGATACTTCCTCTCGCCTCAACCAAGATAGGAGAAGTCATTGGATGATTTTCCCTCAAAAAGAAGCCCATATATATTTCTATTCAGTCGATTCGATAAACATGTATGCCAATTGTCTCAGTCTAGTAGTATCCTTAGCGTCCTAATGTTGGACCACCACAAACTTCTCTGCAGGCCTCATAAGACATGAAATTATTTGCGTTCCCACCACATCCACTATATAAGAAGGGAACACAGGTAAAATTTCTGAATCCATACCTCAGAGTGATGGTTCTGAAAAGAAAAATGGTCGAATTGAGAAATTACTCCTTGTTTTAATATACTTAAGTTAAAATCAAATATGATTCTAAACAGAAAATCCCACCAAAAAACATTCAAAGTCAAAGTCAAAAGCATTTATTTCATTAATCCTTGATTAGGCACTTTTGAAACGTCATAAATTGAATTGTCCGTCCGTCTGTCTGTCAGTGAAGCTAGGCTCTCGTCTATTTTGTAAAAAACTAGCCAAGGCTCGATGGAGCTGCTTGTTTCATTCCAAAAAGTAATGAAATCTAGGACAAAGTCGTTTCAAGTGCCAAGTTTATGGTTCCTTACTGCGATTTCTTTATTATTATAGAGGTAGTTTTCAAATTCAAACTCAATTTTATTATTTTTATCTAGAAATAAAAAAGAAAACACTGCCTCGTTGGTCGACTGGCTGCAAGTGTGACTGCCGGGCAAGGGGTCTCAGGTTCGATTCCCAAGTCGGTCAGTCAAACTATTACTGGGTTTTAAAAGTCTTTTTGTTTTTATTTTATGCTTTTTAGTTTAATCAAGGCTAGACCCAGTATACTACTTATATCTCACATGGATGCAAAGTTCTCATTAAAACTAATTATTCACATATAGATATATGTAAAGATCTTCTCATCAATACATAGTATAAAACAAAGTCGCTTTCGCTGTATGTCCGTATGTATGCTTAGATCTTTAAAACTACGCAACGGATTTTGATGCGGTTTTTTTTAATAGATAGAGTGATTCTTAAGGAAGGTTTGTATGTATATACATATTGCACCCGTCCGAAGCCGGGGCGGGTCGCTAGTTACAAATAATTTAAGTCCAAACACGAGGTCATTGATATAAATTCTCGAGGAGTCCCCTCGGCTGTCTCTTGACTTCATCATCAGAAATTAACAAACGCTCTCGCCACCCATACAATTTTAAAAAGTTTCCCTTGATTTCCAAGGGATCCCGTCATCAAATCCTGACCTGGTGTAAATCGGACCACCCCGAGAATATGAACTTTCCAACAAAAAAATAATCATCAAATCTGTCCACAAACGCCGGAGTCATCAGGTAATATAAATACACCAAAAAAAAGCATACAGCCGAATTGATGACCTCCTCCTTTTTAGGAAGTCGGTTGAAAAAGCGTGATTTTATGTTATGAAAAGGAAAAAACGATAGCGGCTCCGTTACTTTGTACAACAATTAACATACCTCGTAGTAGTGGTAACATTTACAGCTTCTGTTGAATTATCATCACTTTCTTCATCACACACCCCAAACGATGGAGCCATAGAACATATTGTGCTATCTGCAAAAAAAACTGTCTGTTTACAAACATTCGATTATAGCACCAATTTTTTCACTGCATTTTCATAGCTTATGAAACCTAAAGCCATGCTTCTGCATGAGCCTTAAAGAGCAGACCACCACAGATGGGGCCCAATAGGAGTAATGCCGATACGAAGCCGCGAAGGATTTAATGGGTTGCCGGGGCTCCGGCTCAACGTGCAGGGACAGGGTGGTTTTTAGTCAGTAAGAGTCTGACACTCCCTCTCGCCTCACCCGGGTAGGAGGAACCAATGGATGATTTTCCTTAATAAATAAAAAACAATGCTTCTGAATGAATGAGCCTGCTCAACCGAAGCGATACCAAGGCCTCAAAGGAAACTGGCTTGATAGAAGCAATGCTTGCCATGTGAATGAGGCTACTAGAGACCTGTTTCCTCTCCTCTAAAGTTTTCCAACAGTCTTGTAAGATCTCTGGTGCTAAAGTTTCTATGGTTGGCACCGATTCCTCACCTTCATGATTCGTCCTCAAAGAGCCACCAAAGATGGAGTCCATTCCTTTTTAAAAACCGGCAACGCACCTGTGACTCCTCTGGTGTTGCGGATGTCCATGGGTGGTCCAACCTTACCATCAGGTGATCCGTCTGCTCGTTTGCCTCCTATTCCATAAAAAAAGTTGGAGCTGGAGACGACCTAGCTGGATTTCTGTGGCATCGGTTAGAAGCAGCAGTAGACACGGGGTAGTTTTTAGTTTGTCTGACATTCTCTCTCGCCTTATCCAAGACGGGAGAAGTAATTGAATGATTTACCCGCCTCAAAATAAAGTGATCTATCTGCTGGACTCCCATTATACAAAATAGGTATAGGTAGTGACTGACTTACTTGTTTGTTGTTGCACGCTGAACCCCACGAATGTAATAAAGGCGAATAAAAACAAAAGGTTTAAGTTAAATGCCATTTTTCAATTGTTTTCAGACTATTGTTTAGACTATTTTCATTCTAAACTTTCGTCTCATTATATAGGGAAGCCTTGCTTCTATATTTAAATATATTAATTTATGTTCAATTATGTATCTTCCTAGGTAAGTCTCATGTATGATAATCTAGTTTCAGAATGCCAGAGACGTACTCGGATATACGAATTAGGAATAATTCATAAGTACATTATAAATATAATAAAATTGTAGGAAAGTGAAAATCCTACTATGAATATTTTTTTAAAAGAATGCTTGGGGCGTGACCACAGTCAATATCGACGTCAAAATTTGATGTATAAAATGTTTGTTGTCTGTTTGTCTGTATGTATGACCGGGCTAAAGTCAAAGTACTGCATTGGTTTCTTTTATTTTATTATTTTATTTTAACTTTTTATTAACTGAACTTTTATAACCTGAAATTCGACATCCGCACTGAACTAGATTTTGTGTGATTCGCAAGTAGTTTACTATGTCGTGTATGTGAAATTATACGTTTTAAATGCACATTAGAAATTCCTAGATCCTAAACAATAAAATAAATAGTGTTAGTTCGGCCCTGGTTCGAGTTTGACAGCTAAAAATAAAATTGTAACCTTGTTTCTATGCAATATTAGATTAATTCTTTTAATTACACTCTATCTAGGAATGCACCGAATTAAAGGTACGACAGTTAATAGTGTAATTAATATGGAATTAATTAAGATAAAATAATTCAATAATTATTTACTTTCTTTATCTATTTGTGTAGGTAACCAAGGTCTTAAATTTCGAGGTTGTTCGAAGGATTATTGAGTTATTGAGCTATTATTGCAAGCAAGTGTCGTGGTGGGTTTTTTTTAAGGGGGGAAAATCATCGAATAACTGCTCCCGCCTGGGTGAGGCGGGAGGGAGTGTCAGACTCTTACTGTAGTTAAAATTTATCTGGCGTTGGTAAAATCGGCCCTTAGTAGATTAGTAATCGTAATTTTAACCCCTTCCAAAGTCAAAGTCAAAGTCAAAGCATTTATTTCAATTAAACCATAGTTTGGTACTTTAGAAACGTCAACAAATACAAAATAAATAATAGCTAGGTGCTCATTCCAAAACGTAGATTCGAATGGAGAAGAACGAGCAAGAAACTCCATTCGTTACTCTTTTAAAAAAGTATGTTCTACAATGTCTCTGATACATAATTATTTCAATACTGTACGCATATGTAAGAACAATGCAAAGACACGCTTGACGCATTATACTAATAACTTACTAAAATAAAAATAAAAATAATAAAGATCTTAAGTCTAACATGGTGCTCACATATGCATACTGACAATCCATAGAAATAGTGCTTCTATACAAGAAAAAGGAAACTCTTTGTTTCAATAAAGAAAGAAATGCTCGATGCCATAAGGAAACTAGATTGTCTACATTAGAATTAAAGTATTAAATTATGTATTATATTACCTACTATTGGAATTTAACTACTGACTACATTTGAGTATTGTCCAGTGGAGCCGAACCAACATGCTGCCAAGCATTCTTATCTTCAAGATAATCTGTCAGTGTGTAGTAAGCTTGATTACATAATTCGCGCTTAATATATGTTTTAAATTTACTTTCATTGAGATCTAGTATGCTATCTGGTATTTTATTATAGCATTTAATACCTAACCCCATAAAGGATTTCTGTACTTTGGACAGTCTGAATTGCGGTATAGCTAACTTATTTTTGCCTCTAGTATTAAAATTGTGTCTATCGCTTCTTTTTTCAAACAATTGCCTATTTTTCCTTACATACATTATATTTTCATATATATATTGACAGGGCACCGTTAAAATATTTATCGTTTTAAACAATTCTCTCAACGATTCGCAACGGCGTAAGTTATATATTGCTCGGATAGCCCGCTTTTGCAGAATAAATATTGATTCTATTTCTTACGACAGATCGATCTAATAAGTATTTGGTACATAGTTACACACTCTCAATCTTGATGACCGTACAATATTTATCTATTTTTTCTACATCCATTAATTACCTCCATTAATTAATATCAAATGTAAAGGCTTGATTAGTAAAATAGAGCTCATTAAACTGTCAAACACCAAGCGGTCACCGGTGACCGCAACCTATTGTTCTATAATTGTGTCTATAATGACGGTACTCGACGAGTTAAAAGCAAATTAATTATTATGTTTTTCGGCTTACTTACGTAGGTACTTATTCGACGAGAAATGCTGCTCATGAATAGGAGCATTTAGCAAAGCTTGAAACTAGTCGAGTTCCTCGTCAAATAATTACGTGAGTAAGCCGAAAACATAATAATTCTTTTAGTATATCTCACGAAAGTTATAATATAAATAGTCATTAAAACCGTTTAACATCTATATATATAAAAGAAAATCGAAG